TTTTCTGTGGAAATGTCGACACTTTCTCCTGCAGCATTACATACCTCTCTCTCTCTCTCTTTACGTAGTATACGTGGAGGTAAAAAGTAGCCGGCGTGGTTGGGTTTTAAACTCGAGTCCTGCTCAGCAGTACTGGCTCGAACACACTACGCTACTACAAACATTTCCCATCGCGGTGTCCAGGGGTACTTATTACGAAAATAATATTAAAGTACTATTCGAATAATTATGTATCTACAATATCAAATTCACGATAAGAATGCAGAGGAATTAAAAACGCACCCCTACGTAGTTCATTTTACGTTAGAAATATATCAGAACCTCAGTTCTGTAGGCTGCGTTGTTCACCTTGTTCCAGGCATTATCTTTCGGCACCTACCTTGAAGACCGGAACTACGTCATAGATAAATGTGATAACGCTAGACGGGCCATAATAATATAGTCGGTCTGAAATTCTGAACAGAAGCATGTACTTTATTTGATATTTATTTCAAATTATAATAACTAAATAATAAGGTTTCAAATTATTATAACTAAATAATTAACCACAAAAGTGTTCTCTACCTGCAAAAAGTATTTGTCACGGATGAATTCCAAACTAAAGTGCGTGAGATTACCCCGCAGTCATTTTACCTATTACACCACAGACACCCTGATGAGAACCCTGCATCGCAAAAATGTTGCATTGCAATAAAAATAAAATTCAACTTCCGCAATTTTGAAATATCACAGGTTTGAATAATAAAGCTTCTTAGCCATATTATTTAGCCAACTATACTCTAAATGAGGGAAAACGTAAAGAATATGTTTACAGCTGAATTCGAAAAATCTTGTTTACAGATTTTTTTAAATCGTCATGAATGCACACAAAATTTTGTGAAAAATACTCATATTTTGAAAACATTATTTATAATATTACTAAACCTAAATAACCCAGTAATATTTTGTAAAGCATCTGCGTAGGAATGTGTTAGAAACATATCACTAAATACTTTTAACAGAACGATAGGATTCATCGATAAATTACGTAACGCTAAAGAGTGTGAAGTGGTTTTACTCTGTGATTTTATGCTGCGTTTCATGGGGGTAAGAGAATAAGTTTAGTGCGATGTAACGGTTTTAAAATTTTTCAACATTAGTCGCATACATTCCTTTTTCTGTCTTATACCAACAGACTAAAATATTTACTTTAAAAATATAAATAAATTAACGGTATTATGAACAAGTTTCTGCAATACATGCAAGTATTTTTCATCATTTTTAATTAAATCAGCAATATTACGAACAAAATATTCAACAGTGATCTTTACCGTTACAGAGGAAAATCAGATTGGGATGAATTCCAGTTTGTAAATAAAAACAGGATCATTTATTCGTATAATGCTAAGTTCCAAAAATTACTTCGAAATCTCAATGATAACATAATCGCCGCGAAGGCAAACGCAAAGGGAAGTGGCGGTGCGGGTGAAAAGCGCCCAACGCAGAGCTGGAAGGCCCGCCTCATCGCCCCCCCTCCCCCACGCAACGCGCAGCTAACGGGGGGCGGCGACCGCGCGGCCTTGGACTCCGTCGCGCAGGCCGAGCGGAAGCGGAAGGCACCCCGCAGGGGGTGTCCGGGTGGGGCGGTGGGAGGGGGAGCAGAGGGGAAGAGGGGCGAAGGGAGCCGAGGAGCGCGGAAAGGGGGGAGCACGGAAGAGGGCTGAGGAGGTGGGAGAGAAGTGAGGTAAGGGAAAGGTTAGTTGCGAGATGTGTGCGTAATATACATGCGGATGTGGTAAAAGGAAATGAAACGGGGAATGATAAGTAGGAGTGTAGAGGGTAGAGCGTGAAGAGGAGTCGAGAGTGAGTGAAGAGGGGAGAGGATGAATGGGACAGGGGAGAATGGAAGGGGCTGTGAGGAGGAGGAGAGTGAATAAAGAGGAGAGGAGGGAGGGAAGCATTTTGAGGCTGTGTGGAAGAGCAGCGATTTGGATGAACGAGTGAAGAGAGGACAGCAAAGAACGGGTTCGGGGATATGTTGATATACAGAGAACTAGAAAACGGAGCGAGATGTGGAGGCCGTGTAGGGCATTGTGGGCGACGAGATCTGAAGTTGGGGGGGGGTGAAATGAAAGTGGGGCAGAGTGAAGGTGACTGGGAGCGGGAATGGGAAGCCGGAGAGGGCAGCTGGGAATGCGGGGGGGGGTGTTCCTGCTAGCCGAGTTGGCGCGTGGCAGGCAGCAACCAGGCGTGACGCCATTAGCACAGCGGCTGCACGTGCGAGCCGCACATTTTCCTGGCGACGCCGCGCCGCGCGCCTCTCAGCTCCGGGCCGCAGCTCTGGATCTCCGCAGCCAGATAATTAATAATTAACTCGAGTTGGAGCTCTTCCCCTCGCCCTCTGCAGCTGTAGCTGAACAGCAAGGGGGGGGGGACAATGGCTTGCTCTTTGCAGACAGACTAAGGAGGGGGATTATCAACCAGTTGCTGCACTACTAATGCTGCAACAGCTCACATTTTCTCGTAATATTTGAAACGGTTAAGCAATATAATATTGCAAATAGTGATCTTCTAATATTCCAGCGACCTTGATGAAGTCTTCACCGCAAGGAGGAGGGACTACCGTGAGGGGAGTCGCATAGCGTTACCGTTCTCGGTTGACGTCATTGATGAGGGGGATCAACGGCGACTCCAGGATCAATTGCATAATACTACAAGGATAATTTCTTGAAGTTGGGAACTAATGCTACAACCATTTGGCAATATATCGCAATTATTTTATGCATGTTTGTATCAATATATTTTCAGTATACGCTATATAAAAAGGAATGAAATATTTCCAAAACTTAAGAAACATTTGTAGCTTAGAGGCAAAACTACTTTTTGACCAAATTCCCCACAAGAATTAACTTGTCTCATTTGTTGATTTTTTCTGTGGTTCTATTAGCGTTGATTTTAATAAAATATATGTTGATCATAAAGCATTAGTTGATATGTCATTAACAATTTCCTCCCAAATTTCTAAAAATATATGTCTACATAAGATTTGAAAAGGTGGTAAAATTAAATAAAAACAAAATAAAATGGAATTCGTCAAAACCCTATTTTCTTGAGCGGTTCGTTTTAGTCATATCAATAGAGTTATAAACTTATTATGAAATAACTAAAACACTACAAGTTGCGCAGCCAAGTGACTCAGCCATGGGTTTCTATCATGTGACTTCATGAACGTGGCCACTATGGATGTGAATGTGAAACTCGCGAAAAGCTTTAATGTTTTCAGATGTGTACGTGGCGTAGAGGGCATTCCAGTCTATTCTGTATTCATTTATACCGTAAAACTTTCATAATACTCTTATCGGAGTGTACAACTAAGAAACTAGGTGAACCTCTACTCCCAGAAGGATGGTACAAGCAACGAAGTGGGTCAAAGGAATACCACAGGCAAATACGTAAAAGGACCAGGCCGAGAAAAGCCTATGCGACGGGGCTAAATTCGTTTGAGGTAGTCGTTGGGGGTGGCTGCGTTGAGTGTTGGTTCAGAGAGGGTGGGTCAGTTGGGTATTGGTCCGATGCGGGTGTTACTTTGGAAGTTGGTGTGTTGGGGCATTGGTTTTTGTGATTTGATCTGTTAGGAGGTTGGTCCATGTGAGTTGTTCTGTCTGAAGGGTTTGTCTGTTGGGTTTTTGTGCATTGAGGGTTTTGCGTTGGAGGTTGGCACTAGGCCAGTTGAATGTTGGTCAGCTGAGTATGTTGCGCTGGAAGTTGGTACGCTGAAATTTGGTTTTGGGGGGACTGGTCCGTTGGAAATTAGGTTTTTTTAGGGGTTAGAGAAGCTATTGATAAGTGGTAAGGTTTGGTGGATGATTGGGTTTAGTGATAAGAAGTACCTTGGGGAAGATGTATTAGTTGTTTAGTATTTTTAATAATTTTCTTGTTTATTGAAAATTATTTTAAAGGTTTTGAAACAGAAGCGATTTGCTTTAAATTTTAATCGACAATTGTCGCATTTCAGGATGAATTGTTTCGATTTTGAACATTCAGACAAGTAATGAATACTTTGAGAATGCCGGCTGTACGTTGTAGTGAGTCTGGTTATGTCCACGTTCCTGACAATTTTTGCATTGAATTATTGTTATTCTTTTACAAAATTTAATAGGAACTGTACAACAAAAAGTTAATCACAATATTTTCGTTATCTGTTTCATTCCTATTCTTCTTTAGTCTTATTATTGAATCCCTTTTGGTTCGGATTTGGTTTTCGTAAAATTCCGCCAACTACTTTTAGGCTGTTTTGCGCGCGTTAATTGACGGAATTTTCAGAGTTTGATTGCCCACTGTTACCGGCACCTTTCTGGATTCATGATGAGCACTGAATGTGAAACTGGAATGTTTCTTACACCATCGCTGTTCTTTCGGTAGGTGATTTTGTACGTTCTGCAACTGTTCAGGGCGCCCTCGCGCAGGTCGCGGCGGCCACCAGCTGCGCGTGCGCGAGGGCGGCGAGGGCTAAGGGCCCGCGCTCTGGAGGCTCCGGGCCGTGTGGGGGAGCTGCTCCGGGGAAAGGGAAATGCATATGCCGATAATCATTCACAGACGCAAATGCAAATGGCTACGATATGCTTCTTTTCTGTTGCTTCATCATGAAAAGTGTACATCTGAGATAAAAGAATAAACAAAACGCATGTCCTTTTTCGATTTTTTTATTTCTGTTCTCATTTCTTCCTTCATGATTCTTTAATGTTATATTCTATAATTCTTTCAAAATAATTCAGATTGTGAAGCAATGAATGTATTTCTAGTCATTGAGAAAACAAGGGGTATCTTCAACTGTCTTCATTCCAAGTGCTACACTCGTGTTGCACAGAGTGTCATGAATAACAGATTTAATAAAACCGAAGGAAAATGCTTGAATGTAAAGAGAGAATGTCACAGCCTTATCGTATTTTGAAAACCAATTATTCAAAGAGAATCTTACTTATTGCCTTGCGCTTGCGTTGCTAAGGCGCAGGGCTACTCACCATGAGGATGCGCAGGATGAGCGTGGTGTTCTGGAAGTCGTACTCCAGGCTGAAGTGGATCTGCCCCACGTTCTCCACGGGCTCGCTGTTGTCAATGTACATGTCGACCAGCGAGATGGAGCGGCTCTGCAGGAACGCCATCTGGGGGCAAGGGGGCACCGGCGTGAGCGCGTGCGGCCGCGCGCAAACCCAGGGTCTCGCAGCTGTTTTGTGCGTTGGCCACGCGTGCAAACGCAGTCGCGTGCCCCCTCCCCCCCCCCGTCGCAGAGACAAGGGGGGGGGGGGGGTGAGGGACAAGCGACGTGCGCTCGCTCTCGTGTTGCTAGCGAGGCCCCGGCTGGGGAAAGGTTTTGTGCGTTCGGGTGCCGTCATGAGAAAATGATCTAGTAAACCCTTTTCATGAGCGTCTGAGCTCCATAAGGAACCACACTGATTGTATGCCAGTGACTTAAACTCATGTCAAAATATTTATGTTCACAGCCCGGAAGTTCAGGCATTTATTGTATCTAAAATAAGCAGGCTAAAAGATATTTGTTACTAAAATAAGCATGCAAACAGGCATTTGTTCTGTCTAAAATAGGGGTGCAAAATTTCACCTAATGAAAAATCGCATTTAAAAAAAATTAATGTAAAAAATCATAATTCAAAACATTTACATTTTTATTCTAACTCTAAAATTCCCATTCGTACTTACGTGGAAAGAAACAATTGCTTTGTAATCATAACTGAACGTGACCACTCCGTAGGATGACCACAAATTACTTTTCCTGCCTCGCCCTTTAGAATTTTGAAATGGCGTCAGTGAAAAAGGAATTATAGTTTTCCGTCTTCGCCCTTGGGTGATACCCAGCACCGAGAAATACATCATTTACATGGAGCTCTGTCCCCAAACGTGACTGAATTGTAGAAAGGGATTCCTCATGTGCAAACAAAACCTGTCGGTAGCAAGGAAAAAATCATAAATCTTGACTAGTGTCATCTTCCTTTCTCATTTAACATTAACCCTCCCTTTAGCCTCCCATTCCGCAGAAAGACACAACACGACCTTCGTGTTGTCCAAGCTTGTATGTCTGCTTCCATCTTGATTGAGATCGGTGTCAGGAAAAAAAAGAAAATAATGTTCAAAAAGAAAGAAAAAGGCAAAAATATCTAAAAGAGGTATCAGAAGCAAAAATAGGTAAAAACCGCCGAAGTGAAAATCTGAAAACAACTCCAGAAGTACAATTAAGTGATTCGTGTTGTTAAGTCATAAAATTTTAACAAAAACAAAGGCATTTCGCCAAACTTCCGGGCTCTAGATTTAATGATCAATTGTTGAATAAAATAAATCTGTGGAACATATGTCTGAGTACATTTTTAATTGTTTACAATTACCGTTCAACGTAATTAACTGAAAAATGATTAACCAATAAAGTTAATACTGTGAGGACAGCCATTACTCGAGCAACTTCTTTCATCAACGTTTCAAATCTTTTATTCCTCAAATTTAAAAGGACAGATAACACTGCACACCATCTGCACTTCCCTACGGCCCAAACGCTCACTTGAAAGTAACGTGTTAAAGAAAAAGTCGAGTCTACGAGCATTCGCAGGCGCTGTGCTATGGCTACTGGCGCCTCTCGAGCCATGTGGCCCGCGCCTCACTACGGCTCTAAGCGAGAAGCGGGCGAACGGGTTTCCGGCGTTGAGGTGCAGGGCTCAGGACGGGACGCAAGGGAGAGAGGGCAGCGGTGCCAACCTCTTCAGCTTCTCCCCTCAAGGGAAACCAGCAAATCCTCCATATAAATAAGAGTTTGTACTCCATCAATTGTCCTTTTCTACTTTATTTACAATGAATTATGCTATGAACAAACTTTTTATCGAAGAAAAAATCCCCATTAAAACAATTCTTGCAATATTTTGTTATTTATTTTCATTTTTAATTAGTAGAAGTATTTTTTTCTATTTATTTTACTGATTTCTCATTCTTTAAGTTTTATTGTGACTCATAAATATTGAAATATTTTTCAAAATAGTTGATACTGCTTTCTGTGAATGAACGCCAGAATGGCAAGCTAAGAAAATTTACTACTGACTAAATTTGAAAATAAAAATCAAGAAAAGTTTTTAGCCATACTCTGTCAAATTATGACAAACGAATAAGTAGTTTTCAAATGAAGAGAAACGTTAAGAACAATACCACGACTGGGTCGTATCAACATTACTTCTTAAAAATGAGGATTGCAATCATATCAGGACACCAAAGGGGCTTCTTGGCTTCGTAATTACTTAGCTTTACCTTGACGTGGGTTTGTGTCAGGGATTCTGCAACTCTAAGCACGCACGATATTGATCTTGTTCTTTGTCGTAGTCAGTGAACGCACTTTCATGAATGGGTTAGCTTCAATGACACGATTTATGTGTTAATATTTTAAATAATTGGCAAATACTGAACATAACACGGAACTCATCATTTATATCATAATGCTTTAACAATCCTTTATATGATTCATGAAAGTGTAAATTAGTCACTTTTAGACCACGATAACGAACAAGAAATTTTCTGGTCAAAATAATGAAAATTGTAATATGAGCTTGACTGAATACTATTTACATTAAAAACAGCATTCCTGTGGATAAAAATATGTACAATCAATATTATATATTTTCTGGTAATATATACAAATGTTATTTTATGTATAAGTGATTCAAAAATTTAATAAAATATTTAGAAATATTAATTATCTAAACTAGTCTACTCTACTGTTCTATAATCTAGACGTACTGAATCCGTGCTGTTGGGTGAAACAACATACCAGTCGACCGAGGAGGCCATGGTTGGAGAAAACAAAAAAACAGATTCAGACTGGCTCACATGGTCACAGACAAGTTGCACTTAGCGAAAGACTTGCTGGTAAGTCTCGATCGTCATATTGTTACGTAATTCGTTTCAATATTACGCTCCAATATGCCTTGTTGGTGCTAAAATAGTGATAAAATTGAAAAGAAATTTATAGTGCCTTTTTTAGCCTTAAAACTACTTAGTAATTTCCAAATCTATTCATGCAAAGCAATACCCTGTGAATAGCACTTAGTTGCCTTTATAACTATTTGCAAAGAAGTAATGTCTACAAATCATGAAATCAACGCAATTATATTACATTGGGTTATTCGAGACATATTGGATACCCCATCGTGGATGGCTTTCCGTTAATGTCCAAGGTATTTGAAAAAGGTAATGGTTGTCATCGTCATTCAGACTACAGTTTTATGCATAAACATATTTACACAAATGTCATTGTCGTCTCTTTTTCTGACTTTGCTAGAGTCTTAAGTTATTTTAAACTATTCTAAAGCGAAATGAAAGACTACTTAAGATTAATTTCTATAAGTAAGATGAAATCATGCATTCCACTATATTGACATTTTAAATTTCTTTTCGAAGTTAATCACCACTTAATGAACTGTCTTCATGTCTCAGTGCATATGGTAATATCAAAAACTAACATCTCGACGTTGTTATCAAGAATTAATTTAGTGTGTTCAATTAATTGTAATACTACGAGTACAATCATAGCCTATAATTTTCTTATAGGAATATTATGTTCAAAAATCTCAAAGCACGATTTTTTATATTAAGTCGCTTTTACATTTCAGCCATCGCACAGAATAAGTTCGGCCATCTAGCTGGAAAAAAGTTCATTTTTCAATGTCAGAAGGGTTATCAGAATATTTCTTTCATTTTAAAAGTTCCATACATAGTAAATATAATGGGAATTGTTTTTCTTCTGAATCGCTTGAGGCGGTGGTAGAACATATTCAAACATGCACGATCTCGCGATGTCACTGGACGGCGCTGTCAGTTGCATTTCACTAGGCTGAATCGCGCGTTGCAGACCAATGTGCAATAACAGGCATTTATATCGTGGTAGTCATTCGCGAATTGTTTTTTTCATTTTTATATTCAATAGAGCATCAAGTTCAGTAAATACTGCTCATAATTGCTTGTGGGAAGTTGTGAAAATGTAATTTTATATTATTTTCTCGCCATTTTACGCACTTATCTAAGCATTTCATATTGAATTCGCCATAATTGACGTTTGTAACTATATAGATATTAAACCTAGTTTTTTTGTCTTTCAAAATCATGGAAGATCAGCAAAGCATACCAGCGCACTCAAGAGTTTTCTTTTTTTCTTCTTTTCCAAGTAGCTCGTTCAATTTCTTGGAGGACGTTTTTTGTTTTGTGCGATAGCTCCACAGAGGCAAGCTATGACGCCGTACTCTCGTATGTTTTATACGAATTAGGTGAAGAAACTATTGCTGGTACTTCAATAAGTTCGAGGAAAACTCAAATTAGCAATTCTTGGCAGCTCATTACCAAAAGATAGGAAAATTGTGTAAGGCATAAGCAGCATTTTATAGATAAATTACTCATCAAGACTGCAGGCATAGGTTAAATTTTGTACAAATTCATTGAAAATTGCTCTTAACATTTCAAAATCAGATGATATTGGTATTGTGTTTGGCCGTTGACTTTTTGTTTGTGTGGACCTAAAACTATAATGCAGGAAGTAAAACAGCTGTTAAATTAGTTTACTGAAAAACTGGGAACACCTACTGATATTGTAGTTAGGAAAAGGTAAAAGAGATCATGTTTATATACAGTAAAGGAGTTTTGAATTGCTTCTTCTAACAGAGGTACAAATATTAAGGAACTCGCAGATCGTCCGATTAAAGAACCATCTTAAAAAAGTGAAGGAAGAATATCTTTCCTTTGGAATATTTCCTCTTCATTGCTATTTAAGTGTCTTCTGCACATTTTACATCAACTGCAAATACAAACAAGTCACGTAAGAGAAGAAAATAAAAAGTATCACAAAGAAAGAAAAATATCCACAAAAATTCAGACAAGAGTTGGTACTGTTAGTTGAAATGCCCAAAATAAAGTAAGGCAATACCAATTCAGAAACAACTGGAATAAATCTGGATACAATAAAGTGTTTAGGAGTCATGTTAGAAGGCCTAAAACGTGGTGAAAAAATTAACTTTAAAAGTTATAAAAAATTGTATTAATGACTCGAAACTTGTATCTCCGACTGATATTGCGTAAGGTTCTATATCACGAAAGAGATATAATAAAAAGGTTGCAATATCCCTATTGGATATTTATTTGAAGAAGCTTAAGATGGAAGAAATAAGGACAATAAAATGTTCAGTAAACTATTTACAAGGGAAACATCAAGACAAGACACTGACATCACGAACAGAACACGTGATCCATATATTGCAAGTTTCCAGGGTTCTTCAAAACTAAAAGAGAAAAATTCAATAATAAAAATCGGTAATTTGCAAAACATTAAAGATATAAATGCCGTTACCCCATCGCCAAGACAGTAGGGCCGTAGCTATCTCGGGCCGATGGACCGTGAGTTCAAGTCCCGCCTCGGTCATGGATGAATTTTTTTTCGTCCTTTCATCCCTGGCCATCACCAAATCTTACTTCATTTAGTATAAAGTTACTCCTAACGTTAATTAATAGTGGTCGCTAATGATCTCGCAGTTAATGCGACCTTAAATAAACAAGCATTCATTTTACTTCAATTGCTTCAATCAATCAATGAAAACAAGTGAGATTATGTTATTGTTCTACGTCATAATCAATCAATTTAGGCATTTTATTAAAGTTCATAATTAGTTTCAGAATAATTCCCTGAAAATAATTGTTATCGTCGAGATGAAAAGTGTCAAGTTGTTCAAAATAGTACAAATCTATCAGATTCAAATAAAATTATACTTTCAATTTTAACTGCTATTTCATTTATTTAAAAAGTTGTTCTAAAGAATACATGGCACAAGGTGAAACTGGAAATAGTTTTGTTATATTTGCAATATCTTTACGGAATTGAATGAGTCATAAAAGTTATTGAATTTGGTCTAAACGTACAAAAAATCCATGTGAAAGTGTAGGGGGCACAAAAAATCCAACAGAGACGTTCCCGCTCGTGATTTGCGAGTCGGCTGCCTCTTAGGAAGCCCTCTGGGAGAGATCGGCAGACGACGTCAGGCTGATGGCAACTGCAACTTCTCAGCAAATACTACCTTAAAGAAACAAGACAGATTACGGGGACTTCTTTTCCATCAAAGTGACAGCGATTCTCATGACGAAGGTTTCAGTTCTTCTTTTCCAACTGGAATTAAAGGGGTGCCCCAGGAGGGAAAACGTTACTTCAATCTTACTGTTACATTATTTATACTCCTGAGAAATATCAGGTCTCGGATAATCTTTTTGTGTTGTATTTTATTTGCTTAATAAAACGAACCTGCGTGACGCGTGACGGCTCCTGCCTATGCCACCGGTAAGACTCCGACCAGATGGTGCCTACCAGTCACGACAGGTGTTACACCGAGCAAAACTAGACCAAGTGCAACTCCGCAGAAAACAGCAGTGCGCTCTGAAGAAGGTGACAATACGCTGGCCGCAACGTTAGCCACCATGTCAGTGACGCGGCTCATCATGGATAGCCTAGACAACCCAAAGTCCGACCGCGGAAGCCTACGCAACCAGTGAGTGGATGGCTCGCCATCGCCCTTTGGGCGAGATTGGGCGTGGCGTTATTTAGCCGGCATCCTCTGTGCAGCTGGTGGCGGATCGCAAACCCACGAACAAAATTCCAGACGCTGAGCATGAACCCTCTGTGGGGATTGTCTAGTTTTCGGCGGCACTCGCGGCGACAGCGACAAGGCAGAGGCAGCGAGGAGACGCGTTGGGGCCCCACGGCCCAGGGCCTTTCCCGGGGGGCTCCCAGTTAGGCACTTGCCTGCGTGGTCCTACAAGGAGGGACTTGTCTCGGCTGAATGTAAGCGGCGCAGTGTTTCGAATCCGGTGCTGGCCTAGAAAGCCAGTGGCTCTGAGCTGGCAAGGCGACCCGACTCAGCCATTGAATGGGGAGGTTTCCGAGAGGGTAACTGCGTTCTGTCCGAATCAGGATATGCATAGATTAGTATAACAAGGGACCGCTTTGACAGCTAGCTCATTTGTAAATGGCGTCATTACTATTTCTTGCAATGTCAACACCCCGTATGACGTTAATTTGTTTCCAGTCCTGTCAAACTGGTTCCTTCTTAGATAATTCCTTAATACCAATAGTCGAAAATGTTCGTTTTGACCGAGGGGAGTGAGGGTGAAGGCATAAATGCCTAAGTTTCCACTATGGAGATTTATCCTCCGGTAGGAAATAAATGAAGTGTGGAGTAGCAGCGCACGCTGGGATTACACTCCCGATTTGTCTATTTTCGAACTCTGAAAGTTACACGAAAAATACCGATGAATTCTTATGATTAAATTTTATTTTTGTTTCATTGACAGATTTAACTATCGTCAATCTGATGAATGAAGTAACGATTCATGTAAATACTGTCGTGTAAATCAAGAAAGTGAATACTACAGTAATTCACACGCCATTACAAGAAGCATGCCTTTTCGATTCGTAAGATTCGAAGAATCAAATGGTCACATCTGTAGGAGCCGTAAGTAACACAACATGCGATTTAGTTGCTTGGTTTGGTTTTGAAACTGGTATTACGTATTTGTAATTAATTCTATAACACTTAACAATATTAAGCGCCCCGTTGTGCCTTTCTGCCCCGGGGGCTGCCACCGCCGCTGCCCTTCGAAGCGCCTCACGCTGATCGCCGCCCGTCCGCCCGCCCGCCCCGCGGGTCGATGTCCCTCCGTTCGATTGACCGCCCCCGCCCTGCGGCCTCGCGCGGAGGAAGACCCAGCAGGCAGCCTATTTAACTTTGTTCATTCAGTGTAGCTCGCTCCTTTGGAAGCCTCATACAGGAAATTGCTTTCTCTTTCGGTTCGCTGCTCTCTTGACAAACGACTCTCCCTCATATTCCCTCACGTGG